AGAGGAATATATACTCCTTTCCTTTCCTTCCATTCTTTATGTGTATGGGTATGCACACCACAGGCTATGAGTTGAATAATACTTATGTGCAAAAATAAAGGCATGAACCATTGTAGAGGATAGTAAACATTAAGAATATGATTAAGAGTCTTTCATTTCTAGAGAGAGCTCATTACTTTGTATGTAAGTCAATTTTTACATGGCATTTTGTCATGAAGTTAATATGCTCCAATTTCTTCACTAAACATGCAAAAAACAAATAAATTATAATTTTGTCATGATTATTTATTGACGTTTAATATTCTACAATACATTTTGCATAAAGAGGTGCCATACTTGCTTTTATCTTAAGATAAAAAGCAAGTTCTTAATAATGATCATACTTTTATCCTTTTTTTTTTATTATTATTGCCATGAGATTTTGCACACCATTCAATTATTCTTTTGGATAACACTGAAGCATAAATTTTAGCTATGTGTTTTTGTACATGGCTTTATGAGTCAATTTTATTCATTTGTGGATATACTTAGAGAAAAATGCAACATGTTTTGCTATTGTCATGTATATTTTTTCTTTCATCTTTCCATGCTAAAATTTATTAGATTCAAATAACGATTTGATTTTAAATTCATATTAAATTAAGAATAAAAATGTATATATAATTTTTTCACTGATATTTAATCAAACATGTCTTTACAACTTTATTCCTTATCATGAAATATTTTTAATGCTAATTTTTAAAAATGTAAAAGATTTTAATTTTTCAATGAATACATGTCAAATTCTCAATTTTTTTGAATTATTTTGACTTCAATAAAAATAAGTACATAGTATAGTACAAATTAATAAGCACATAATATAATACAAATTTTGATAAATATAGTATTTTAGAGTGATAATCATCTCATTATATTAATATTTATATATATTACTCATTTATATTTGTAAAAAATAAAATTTTAATATATATTTATTATTTTTAAAAATAATATTTTATTTTATAAGGAAGAAGATAAAGTTTTTTAATGCTTTATTAGTTTATATATAGAATAAAATTGTGTATTACAATAATGTGTGCATCCAAATTATAATCACATATAATACAATATTTAGAACTAAAGAAAATAATGAATTTATTATCATATCCAAATCTTATTAATGAATTAAAGTAACTTATTTATTTATGTGTATGTATGTATATATGTAAGATGTTGCTGCTGCCACTATAACTTTCCATTTGCCAAATGCCACCAAAACATTTGCTAACACCACCACAAGTTGCTCTAAACTTGCATTACACAATACATGGTGCTTTTTGAAACATTAAAATACATATATTATGAAGAATGTGCATTTAATCCATTGTGGTGTGTATTAGGAATGTTCCATAGAATGCACTAGAATGTGCTTCAGAAGTCTTAAGGTAACTTGTGGTGGGATTAGCTAAAATTGGTAAAAAAATTATTTATATATATATAATTGTTTTACCAATTTTAGCTAATGCCACCATAATTTTATATATATATATATATATATATATATATGTACACAATTATATATATATATATGTACACAATTATATATATATATATATATATATGTACACAATTATATATATATATATATATAATTATTAAAAAATTATATATATATATATATATATATATACACACATAGATTAAGGGTAAATGTATTAAATTTTAAAATGAAATATTTTTTAATTATTTTTTTTTATACTTTTCTTAAAAATTTTTAGAGATCATATTGTCAAATAACTTTGTATACTTGGAGTTTTCAAACACATTTCCTCTTTATTCAAGATTTACTACTGTATATTCAGGCACATTGAACAGCACTTATTTCTTAGTTGTGCCATCCAGATTTCAAACTCTACATTGGCTGATTTAGAGATCCACACACATTGAGTAAAAGTTCATATTGTAAGATATCAATTTACTTAACAAAAGTTCAAAATCGAAAACCTTTTAATACTTATGCATACATCACATCACATCATATCACAAAAACTTCTCTCCAACACCAATCTACGCATGCCTTGTGACAAATAACGGAATCACTGAAACAAGTAGTCATGCAATATATAAATATTTCCAATAAAAAATCTAGATGTATCCTGCAATGAACAACAAATTGGTGGGCCAAGTAATATAGAGTAAAACATAAATGGATATATAAAAAGGGGGAAAAGATAGCATGGGGAAGAGGTCAGGGGAGGAGGATGATGATGTGATTTGATCTGATATAGTAGCTCTTTGGTTAATCCAACCATGACATTTTAAGGTGGGGTTCAAGTTGGAAGGTATTGGTGGAAATGCTTGGTGGGAGGGATACAAACACAATTGCGTGGATATGGTGTCAAGGGATTTGTTTGTTATTAAACAAAAAGTTGCCTTTTTTTTTTTACTTTTCGATCAGGTGGGGGTGGGGAGTCATCAACAAACAACACCACCTTTTAACTTTTTTGGGGGGTAGTGTTTTGGATGGTGCATTTGTTTTGGCAGAAAGCTGTGCCTCTGCAAGTATTGCCCCTAAGATTCCCAGCCTTTTTCCATCTCAGCCATGAGATGACAATCAATTTTAGCTTTTTCACAAACAGCTTTAGGAGGTCATTGGCTGCCACAGGATGAGAACACAACAATAGCTTATGGGTGTAAAGGCTCTAAAGGTTTAATCAAGTAGATGAGCAAAGAAATGTTTGTTTTTGTTTTTTTTTTAAAGAAGAAACTATAACATAAATAGGTGAAACAAACAAAAGAAACCAAGAGGGTTAGAAGGAGTAGGGTTCCTTTAATGCCAACTTATGAATTGTCTCAATGAACCGTAATTTATTCCAATGGTTGATCTACAGTTCCCAATCCATATGAGCATAAATACATTCCATGAGATCATTATTTCGTTTGCCGAAAACACACTTGTATTATGTTTGGCGAAGCTGCAGAAGCAGGTATAAAGGATACATTATGAGTTGACCATCAACGAGGGGAGATTGCCTGTGCGCTCAGATTCTTACTAGATTCAAGCAGTGAATTTTGGTTTTTCTGAGAATTCTAGATGTGTAGTGTGAGTGGGGTTCTTTTGCTGTGTGTGACGTAACTCAGTGATTTTACAACACCATCGAAGGTTCAGAAACAAACCGCGTTATCAACCCATTTTTGTGTTTCACAGGTTGATCCCAAAGTTGCCATCGATTTTGCGACAGTTTTTGTCTGAAATGTGCGTGTGTGTGTGTGTTGTGGAGTGGAAGACTAAAAAAAATGGTAACAAGGAAATGAGTATTATTGGCTGGAATGAGGTATTAACGTCATTAAGATTCGGATTTGTCCCAAGTTTAAAATATATATATATATATATATATATACACAAAGGAAGCTGGAATCATGCTCACACACTCAACTTAAGAATTTTGTTTTCGGGAGGAGCGAAGCAGCAGCTGGAGAAAGGAAAATGGGTGCACCCCAATTGGTCACAAATTTCTCCAATTCTTGGCATCACAAAAGATCGTACTTAGAAATATACCGTACCAGATTATTTCGGTGCGTATTCTAGAAGGGCTTGTGTACCACATGTAGTGGGGATTAGAGCTGCAACACGGAATTTGAAGAGGAGGGGAGAAGAAGAGGAGGTGGAAGTAGAGAAAGAAGTGCCAGGCAGCAATCCAGAGGTAGCAGGGCAAGGGTGCCCATGGCGCAAGATTCTATGGAGAGGACCAGAGCTGGGCCTTCGTCATGTCTCGGAAAACAAGACGGATGCAGAAAAGCATGGAATGGGAGTCTGGGTCCCAGCAAAGACAAAGGCAGTGCAAATCGTTGCACAGCGACAGCCATCTCCGGAAGATCCACGGCGATTCCTCACAAAGATTTGGGGTCCCGATTTAGATGAAAAGGCATATAGTTGGTGCTCAAATTCTGCTGCTTCGAAAATGAAACCATGCCGATATGCACAATATGTTAACATGATCAACTCGTTGCTCGTTGAACCCACATTTCGCTCTTGCTTCTAAGTTACTAAGGAAATTATGCCCAGTTGTTAGCCTGACGCTTCACATGTGAAAGAGTATCTAGTCAATCACACCTTTGTACAGTAGAATTGTCTTTTTTTCATCGCTCATTGAGACATCAACCTGTGCCGTTGTACAGTGACTCGTTCCCATCGAAGATTCCACCGTTGTGCCGCGGCTACGTCACGACACTGCTACGGTGGTCCCCGATTAGCTACTGGATGCAAACCATGTACCCCCATCATCTGGATCGATCTACCACCGCACACCAGCCACGTACCGGAGGATCATGTTTGTGCGCTCCAGATGCGTCCGTCATTACACTGGGATCCTTCATTCTTCCATCTCTGACACACACAAAATGCCGCACGAGTGGCGGTAATCCTGCAAATCATCACGAAATGGCTTGGCATGTAACTAGCGATGGTAATCACACGCGTGGGGGTTCAGATTACCTCAGTGCTGGGTCGGAGATCAAGCAACTTGATGGGTCGGAAAAGGAGGAAGTGATCAGATGAGATATCCTGCATCGAGCCTTGTTCATTCAATTCCTAAAAATGGTATAGATCACCTGATTTGGGCACGAAGTCAAGTCAAGGCCCGCAGTCGCAGTGAGCACTGGCAATCGTGGGGTAGCCAGATGCGAAGGAGGGGTTTCTGCCAATTCCTCCCAAACCCCAAAAACCCATTTCACAAATAGACACGAGGGCAAGAATAATGAGTGGGAGAAGCAGCAGAGTTTCAGCACCAACTATGTCGTATTCTTCCTTTTTTTAATCCTCAGTCTCCTTGACATCTGGCAGTTTCGGAATTCTATCTTGCCAAGCTCGCCACGTGTCTTCGTCAAAACGATCGTGATGAATATCATTCTCCAGCCGATCGATTGATCTCACTGTTACACCTGCTTTGTTGACTGGCTACAACTCTAGCTTACACATCACAACAGAAACATATAAGATTCTATCGAGGGTTCTAATTTTGTCTGGGGGTGCTTAGCGGTAAAAGCTCAGGAATTTCTTCTTAAATCTCGTCGAGTTTATCCCCATCATCGGTCACACAGAAATCGTTCGGCACTTATAGTGGATCCTACCCACAAGCTAGAGTAAGTAGAAGCCAAAGCTCGAGTCGATCGTGTCCGGAACCCAGTGCACTTCTTCAGGTCGGAGCCGTAGAAGTGCCAGGAAAGTTACGATTCATTTCCGATCATGTTCGGAGACGATTCATTGCAGCAGTCAGATCATAGTTCTTACTAGCTACTTGCGGGCAGTCGCTATCAAAACTGGGCATTTTGTTGCAAGGAATATGCTAAGATGGAGCAGCAACCGTATGATCGTCGCTTGTGTACAGTACTGCAAGGATTATCAGCTTTAGCTTGCAAGAAGGGATGGATTCGACAAGGTCAGTGCCAGCTGACTGACACTGTGACAGGCAAAAACGCCTTGGGATGATAATCGTCACAGGACGGCTGCGACCTTTTCCTGCTGCTTTGAAAGTGACCGATCCTAGTGGCCGATCCGAAAGCTGCTGATGCTCTTTTCTGGCGAAGGTAAAATCCCACTGCATAAAAGCGATATTGATCGCACCAAGTCCTCAGTCAAGTGCGTGCATGCCAGACCTGCACCATGCTAATCACCAATTTGTAGCGAATTCGATTGTCATGCAAGTACTACGTCCAGTGATAGTTTGCTTTGAGTCGTGGAAGGCGCACCCTTCGTCGTTGAGAGAGATGTCCAACTCGCAGAAAGCCAGTGCCGTTCTTGAGATTATCGTGATGCAGCATATCTGTGTTAAGATGTTGTCCCGGCAGTTTACTATTGCTTCGATGCTAACCCAATAAGGCCGCAATTCTGAATACAAGTGATTGTCAGAAGCGCAGAGAAAGAGACAGTATATAGGTATGAACCTGCGCTTCGAAAAGAATTAACAGAAGAGAAGCTAATCCACGGTTGCCTGAAAGCTTATGACTGAATAGCAAACCTTGCTAATGAGTGAAGGCAAATGGTGGAGGCTGAATGGTGAGACAAGGCACTACATTCGAGCAATGCGTCCTCGATAGCATTCGTCATTTGTACACAATCTTACACTAGCTCCGGTCGATTCCCAGCCTCTTAACTTCACCTTGCGTTCTCACCTTACTTCGCAAGGAAACGTTGTAGCAGCAATTGTGATCATGGGAGGCACAACGTGTGCAACACAAGTGGCCCCGGCGTCTGGCGCGTGTGTGTCGACCAGCCCGGGGTTCGAAGGGTTCGAGAAGCGCCTGGAGGTCGAGTTCCACGCCGCGCCGGTGTTCAAGGATCCCAACGGACGCGGGCTGCGGGACCTGACGAGGGCGGAGTTGGACACGATGCTGCGCGTGGCGGAGTGCACGATCGTGGCGCAGATGAGCAATGCGGAGCTGGACTCGTACGTGCTGTCGGAGTCGAGCCTGTTCGTGTATCCGCAGTGCATTATCATCAAGACGTGCGGCACCACGAAGCTGCTGTGCGTGGTGCCGGTGCTGCTGGAGGCGGTGGCGCGGCTGGCGATGAGGGTGAGGCGCGTGAAGTACACGCGCGGGACGTTCACGTTTCCGGCGGCGCAGCCGTATCCGCACGGGAGCTTTTCGGAGGAGGTGGGGTATCTGGAGAAGTACTTCGGGGGCGTCGGGGACGGCGGGCGGGCGTACGTGATGGGGAGCCGGGGCAAGTTCCCGCATTGGCACATCTACACGGCGTGCGACGCGAATGCGGAGGATGCGAAGGCGGAGGAGGGAGTGTACACGCTGGAGATGTGCATGACGAAGCTGGACAAGTACGCGGCGGGGCAGTTCTTCAAGGGGAGCGGGAGGGAGAGCGGGTCGGAGATGACGCAGGCGGCGCGCATCCAGAGCTTGCTGCCGGGGTCGCGGATCTGCGACTTCGCGTTCGACCCGTGCGGGTACTCGATGAATGGGATCGAGGGAGCGGCGCACTCGACGATCCACGTGACGCCGGAGGAGGGGTTTAGCTACGCGAGCTTCGAGGCGATGGGGTACAGGGGCGGGGACGTGGACCTGGGGGCGCTGGTGGAGCGGGTGGTGGCGGTGTTCAAGCCCGCGGTGCTGGCGATGAGCGTGCACGTGAGCGGGTGGGCGCGCGGGCGGGCAGGATCGGGGTCGGGGTCGTGGGGGGCGTCGGTATGTCCGCGCGGGTACGTGTGCAACGGGAGCAGCCGGCAGGAGCTGGCGTGCGGGGGCGCGGTGGTGTTCCACACGTTCCAGGACGCGACGAAGCTGGGGCGGGCGACGGCGGTGACGCCGCTGGCTTTGGCGCGCGGGGCGTACATCAGGAAGCGGGGCTTGAAGAAGATGTCGATCAAGGGGATCAAGTTGAAGAAAGAGACGGGGGCGAGCGCGGTGGCGGTAGGCATGGTGAGCCACTTCCACTGTTGCAGGCTTGGCGAGGCTTGATTGTTGCGTGTTGCGTTTCGGGGTGCTGTTAGTAGGTGTTGGTGATCACGGGTTGGGTCACTTAGAATTCGCATTATGATTGTGGTTGTTTTCATACTTGCATCTATTTTCATGGGTCAATTATTTGTAGACTAGGAGGAATGATTTGCTTAGTTAAGACGTTGAAGGGTTGTTTTATGTTGTCGGTAAGAAATTTCTAGATTTGCTTATTTTTGTGAGAGATTTCCTTTGTTGACGTTTTGAAAATGTTTTCGTTCCTGTGCAGTAACAGTATGTAATGATCGGATATTTGTGAAGAATTTGTTTCACTTGGGATACTTCAAGTTCACCGTGTTTGGTCATCAGTTTCGAAATACCAAACATCATTGTACAGTCATCTAGATATTTTGGTATTTAAATTCAGGATCCAGCGGAGATTGTTGGTGGTTGTGGGTTTGCAGCCTTTTCGGGACATGGCGTCATCGTTCTTTAGGAGTACAGAAAGAATGCTAGCAATGGTCGACCACTGGTGGAAATTTAGTCGCTTAAACCCTGTCACATTCTTTAGAGTTAGGGTAAATGGACCCATTACAATTTACGAAGATTGCAAGAGGTGGCTGTTCTTAGAAATCCTAAGCCACAATTGATGGAGGGATCAGAAATCTGTCTTCAGTTCCTTGCAACGGTACACCTACATGAACATTATTAGAAACATGTTCTCTACTTGACGAGTTGCTTCTGTTGTGGCCCTGTCATTTAGAGTGCACTTGTGGGAGAAGTCACAAGTTCACCGTAGTCACCGAGTGGATTTGCCAGAAATGCCAGATGAAAGTGTAAGCAGATCTATTCATTGGCTAAAGTAGTTGAACAAACCTGAATCGAGGAAGTAGCCTCGATTAAGCATTTCTAATGCATTGTACAACACTGCGTGTAAACAAGGATACATTTCACAACACTTTGGCAAGACGTCGCACACTTTGAGAAGCCTGTTCTGTGAATTTGTGAGACGTGAGGTACCTCTGTAATCCGCAATTTGTTTCTCTAAGCCACTCAAATCGACAAGGTAAAACCCAAAACCTCACACGCACAGATCAGGGTTAGTATCGTGACCGAAAAGTTTTCTGCAACGGTGATGACAGGTGTATGTGGATTAGTGAGCCTATACATGCGGTTTATATGTCGATTCTCACTATATAATCTGTCTACGCAGTAAAGCCTGATTCAAATTATTCGCTGTATTGGCGCTGGTCGCGTGGGTCATGTCGTTTCTCCTTTCTGCCCTGACAAGTCGGGCAACATTTCAGGGACAGTTGAGAGTAAGGACCCTCCTCCCATCCAGACAGTTGATTTCAGGGCATCTGGAATCCTCTTCGGCCATAAGCAGTGCATTGGTGCGGTAAAGCGGAGTACCGAACAGCGTGGGAGCGTGGGATGATGCCTCTACATTAGCCTTGCTCTCGGGTGGATGCAATCTTGTCATCGTCTCGGGGTTAGGCGGTGCAGTACACACGGCTGCCGTCGTTCCATCGCTCTTGCATTGCAAAGCGACACATCCAGTGCCCAGGCGAAGGTTTGGAGCTGAAGGAGCCGCCATCAAATCGGCTGTGCATTCCTTGATCGTAGTAACTGTAACCCTATTGTCCTGATGAAGTCCTCCCATATCCCCACCAAGGGTCTCTGTCAAGGAAAAGGTCGCACATCTGCTTTATGAAGCCGGCGTTCTAGAATCTGTAGCAACGCCCCCATCTAATGATAAACGGTAATTTTAGTGTATGGAAAATTTATGTTGTGTAGGATCACTAGGCCGCCCTAAAACCACCTAAGCGTCTAGTTCGCAAGGTCTTTATCCAGGAACACAAGGTTCCTAAAAAAGAGGAATGGCACGACACTATGACGTCTGCAAATATGTTGTGGCTTTTGAGAAGAACGGTGAGGCACTGCGCACTGCAAAGTTGAAGCCAGACGATCCTGTTGGTCGCATGGCTGTTGGGAGAAAGACCAAAACCCTTGTAATGGAGCTAAACATGGAGCACTGTCTCGCATAATACATCATGCCTAAATCTTCAAAGAAGTATATCCACCACGCAGAGTGAAAACGAAACTCCGTTAGTGCAGATGCAGAATGCTTACACAATTATGTTCCAAAAATAATTACCACACCTATGAGGAAATTTACCAACCTCTCTCTTGCGGACTCTTTTTAGATTGCTGAAAAATGTAAAGTGCACATGTAGACAGACCTTGGGGTGCTTTCAGTCGTAAAGCACTGACACCAAATTTCTGGCATGTCAATCATTCCACCCCAATTGGCGACAGCATATCTGGGCATCCTGCAAAGGAATTGTGATTTCCACCCACATTGAAGGCGACCGAGTTGGATCAAGCCTATCAATCAGAGCAGCGATCGAGTGCAACTGAATGTGGACAATGTGCGAGACCCAAGTCTGAATGCGAGGGTCCAGCTTCACACCACCGTTACAGATTACCTCGCAACAAAGATCTTGAAGACGAGGAGGATGCAGGTGCCTGAACCAAAGACTGACAACACTGACGTCTTTGTGCGTAAGTGGATTCTCATTTGCTGGAAAGGTTGCAATTAATAGAATCACAACACTCATTCTATTCACAACATTTCTCACTCTATCAGTGGGCTGATTCCAATGACGCGCAATGGGAATCGTAAGGGAATGAATGAGTCCGCCAGTGGTAAGCCAGGCAGAAAACCCCAACTCCAGATGCCATGACTTCCCAAACAAATGATATCCCAGGTTAGTAGTAGCAACATAAGCGCAACAAAGTTGAGCAGATTCCTACCCTGCAAAGCAAGAGCCAGCCATGTAAAGTTAATTCGGCGTGTCTCATGCACCTGACTTGTCAATATCTGTTGTTGCAGGAACATGGAAAAACAACCACGATACTCTTGTGAAAGCAGAAAGTAATTTACATGTCGGCTTGCTTTGCACCTTTGCTGAAGTTTTCCTCTCAATGTCCATGACTTCATGAGTAAAAACTGGGTTGATCGCTCACATGCAGATCGATAGATACACACACACCAAATTGATGTTTAATAATTTGTAGAAATTATATGCCAAATTTATATGCATAATATAAATTGACCCACTCTTGATAAATGTGGTTGGTTTTCATTGGTTGCAAATCCAATAGTAGAGAAATGAATTTAGAGATGATTTTTATTTTTTTATATTTTATGATCGTTAAGATGGGCTGCTCAATTTAGTAAAAATTTGATTCTATTTAATATTCTCATATATATATATATATATATATATATATTTGTTTTTTTTTTTTTATTATGTAGTAAGTTAAGATAGGAGTAAATGACAAGGAAATATACCAAGGACATACATAAATCCTCTCATTAACCACAAGGATGTATGGATGTCATTTAGAAATTAGTTAAAATTTATTTAAATATTTCTTTATTAAAAATTAATTTTTGTACGAAAATAAAAGTGGATGTTGAATTCTACATACAAACTCCTCCAAAATAAGAATAAAGTAAGAATCATTTAAAATTTGAGCTTGCTTTGCAAACTTGAGTTTTTTTTACCTTTCAATTGACTTTTGGTTGCTATCTTTTCATACTTTGACTTTCTCCAAGCAAAGCAATAAAACTTCCACAACATTGACCTTAGGATTTGGATTCTTTTGTAATGGTTAGCAAAAGAATTTGTTTTGTCAAATTTTGATTTGTCTACAATGATTAACCTAAACATTTTGTTTTTCATAATTGAATTTGAATTTAATGCACAAAACTTAATTCTTAGTATAAATGCATAGGTTTGTTAAAGACAAAAAGAAGAAGTTTAACAAGCATAACGTTTGCATACATTAAATTGTATATTTTATTTAATCTTTTGCTACAAAAAAAATATTAAAAGAAATATGTATTTTATTTTTGTGAATATTGATGTTTTTAAGCATTTCAATTTTTTTACAGAGAATTAATATCTTAAAAAACCTCTCATTTCTTAATCTCCTATTTTGATTTTTGTGTGGTTCAACCTTTTTTACTTAGATGATATAAAATTCTATATAAGATACATTTTTATTAGTTTGTATAATACCATATTAGTCAAAAAGCATTATTCAAGTAATAAATTTTTTGGTGCCAAATTGTATCTTATTCCATAAATTTTGAATCCTTAAACCAATCACTTGAATCAAGTAAGTATTACAAATCATGATCTACCATTGCATGCAACTTACATTCTTCACCTTCTACCACATGCTATAGCTTCTATGCACAATACTAGACCTTGATTACTAAATTAGGTTTGACGTTTAGATCCATTGGTGTAGAAGATATACAATTAGCATTTAAAGATGAATTGCTTCACCAAGAGAAATACTTGGATTTGATGAACCACTCTCTCGCAGAACTTACAACCTCAATGGCTACTATTGTTGCAATTAGTGTTTGCTTTGATGGTGGCTTTGGCTTTGCCACAAGAATCCAAGATATTTCAGAGACATAATGAACTTCGTGGCTTTGAAGTTAATTCACACAATCAAGGATAGTTTTTATCCTTCACTTCATCAACTCCAACTCCAAAAAATCGAGTTATCATCCAGACGTCGACTCACTCATACAACTCACTTGTGAAATGCATGTGCAATGCATGTGAGGACGTGCATTGGCACAGTAAAAAGGCAACCCATCTGCACTTAGGAAAAGACACAACTAATATCATGCCCTACTACTTGTTGCTTGTCACTTGTAACACCTGTTTTGACTCACTAAAACATCCCAATTAATCCCAAGTGACTTTTAACCATGGATCTCGTTCCAGCAACGGCTGAAAATGCTTCCAATATGGTTTGAGGCTGTAGGTGTAATACTGAAAATGATACAGGTACCCTGCATCACAACTATGCCATTGCTGTGGAGCAATAAATAGACAACAGAGTTGTTGAAATTTCTGTTGAGTTGACTGATGAAACGTTCACAGCTCCAAGGTGTTAACACGTGAGTATCACCGAATTGCACAACTTAAAGGAGAACCGGAAGAAGTGTCAAAACTTACTCCTAAAGCTTTTTAACATAAGGTTAAATTTAACAAGAAAAGGACTTGGAACGTCTCCACTGATTTGCCTAGGACATAAAAGCTCAGATGAAAGAGAATCTATCCACTACATGAGTGAGGTGGACTCTCTAACTGTGTGTGATACATAAATAAAATATAAATACAAATAAATAATACATTATGCTCTTACAAACGGATGTGCTCTCAACTTGATATCAATATTGGCAATTCATATTGATACTCAGACCTTCATAACAAAAAGGAGTTTACAGTCATATCTGAAAGCAACGTTAGACTCAAAGTCCTGCTCTACATCTCTGCTTCCTTCCCTACATGAGGCTTGTGAGCGAACTCCTCCTCTTCCTTGGGCATGTGGATGGTAACCACATCTGGGAGTGGAGTCATGGGTCCTTGTTTGCCTTTGGGATCCCAGTCGAGCATGATCTTGACCTTGATACCCAACACTCCCTGCAAGAAGGAATAGCTTCAATTCAGGCTCAGTAGAGCCAACGGAATAATGAAACCTCAATTATAGAACTATTTAGTATAATGCAAGGATGGAAACAATCGAAGATTAATTCTGCACAAGGAGGAGTAAACATAGGGGTATCAAAAAAATCTGTTAATACCTGACGCAGCATAACGTGTCTAACGGCACTGTCAATATAATCATTGACGGGGCTTCCGGATGAGATCATGTAGCCATCCTTGAATTTCATAGACTTGGCCCTAGCGGCACGCAACTTTCCACTGACAATGACCTGTAAACCCAGCCCCTTGATTGTGTTACAAGCATCGCACATTCTGCTATATTCTACAAACGAGGGCTACTTCACGGCATATGATCACACTCAAATGCTTCTTCATACCAGATGATTACCGAGATACTAAACTAGAAATGAATTTCACAAGTAGAAAAAGAAAAACAAACTATGTAATCGGTTTACGTAAGGTTCAGCTCCTCTCATATGCATCATACCAAATCAGGCATTGCTCCTTGGAAGCTATGCAATCAACTGAAAAATACTGAACCTGGTCTAATCACTAATATATACAGCAAACTTCTAAGAACATTGAAATATCTGCCCCCAGCACTAGACACTAGAATTGTGAACGAAGCACAAATAACTAGTATTCTACTCGTGATGTTAGGACTTACTAGTAGATGACTTCTCAAAATCGCTCACAGTAATCAAAAAATTATAACATTGTGAAATGTACCTCACAGCCCTTGGCACCGCTCTCCATGATAAACCTCAGCACTCCGTAGCACGCCCTGTAACCACCACCCAAAACAGAATTTCATTAACCAAACATACTAGAGGAAATCGAAAATAATTATTGGACAAAAAAGTAAAAATCGCGTGAACATTGCACAGCGCCACCGCTACGGGAATTAGAAGATGAAAGAGGTGTCCTGGCATCGAACCTGCGCACGGCAAGCCCTCCAAGAAGCTTGTACCGCAAAGACTCGGCCTGAGCAATGGCGCACAGGCCCCTGTTGTTAACCTTTTCCGCGTACAACTCAACGGTACCCTCCGGGAACTGGAACCGCTTCTGGACAACGGATGTCAACTCCCTAATCCTGCGTCCCTTCTCACCTACATCAAAAAAAAAAAAAAAAAAAAAAAAAAAAAAAAACCTAGATTCTCAGCACCAAAATTAACAGATTCAAAACCTTCCAAGAGTCCACCCGGCAAAATGCCCAAAACCCTAAAAGCCCACCAACTCATCGGGATGTCCAACGTACCCAACACGTTCTGGGTGCGAGTGGCGCGGATGATAATCTCGGTACGCATGGGGGTGACGCGCACCTCAACGCCGGAGTACCCATCTTCGGCGAGCTCCCGGGTGAGGAGCTCGTTCAGCTCCGCAAAGAAAACTCCATCCGCTACGAACTGCTCATAGAAAAAGGGAAGGGAGAACCAGCAGTGAGCAAGTGAACCAAGCAGGGTAGTATTATCAGATTTGCAGAAAAGAGCGATGATGGGTTACACACACCTTTCGCTTCTTGCTCATTTGGGTGGCCATTGTAGCGTCGAATTGGCGACCGAAGAAGGCGACCGACCGAGTAAGAGCCTGCCTGCGATTGAGAGGCGTGCGGTCGAAAGGCGGAGCTCGGGCTGGATCCAGTGTCCTGTATCCAAACCCTAGCCCTCTAGATGGATGAATGAAATTACGTCATCTATCCAAATCACATTCATCCTATTTCTCCTCTCGTTTCCATCTGTTGAATCCAGTTTGTTTGACTTTTCCTTTTTCCCAAAAAGTGCTGTTCTTAAAGGGTTCTTACCTTTTGTCCACATTTGGTCTTTGCTTCAATTTTTATTTCTCTTTCTTTCATCTTCTCATTGTTTGTGAATAAAACTTGAGATTGAGTGTATAATGTTCCTTGATAATAGGGGTGAAAAAGTATTTAGCCTATAAGTAAACAAAAAAAGAAAAAAGAAAAAAAAAAAAACACTACTACTATTATTGTGGAATCTAGAGCTGCATATATAGAATTTATCATTAATATAAGAATTTGGGAATGTGGGTAAATTGAGAATGGGAGAGATAATTTGAACGGGACAATGGTTCCTGCAAATACAAAACTTACTACATGTTGATTCTTTTAAAATAAAATAAAATAATAAAAATGTTTCCTTGGTGATGATTTAATCATTAAATATTTAAAGAAATATTTAAAGGAATCGAGTTTCAGAATTATTTCTTCATATAACTCTAACAATGATTTTAATATATGGAGTATGATTATTTCAATTCAATTTAATGGTCATAATTCCAAATAGATATATAGGTATAATTATTTTAATACATAAAATTTAAGAGTATAAGTTACATGAATTTGTATTATAAAATAATACCATAATATCAAACACAATGAGAATTTTCACATAAATTGTAAAAGCTGTGTAAATGTAAATATAAACATATGGTAGAATTTCTATCTAGGCAAATAAGACCATGTTGATGCTTTTGAATTTGAATGTTAAAAACTTAAGACAAATGATATAAGACTTCTATTAATTCTATATTTAGAATGTAATAATGTAATAGAAAAGCAATTGAAAATTTTAAAGTTGAAGATAAATATATTTTCATAATGAACATTCTCAATCGAATGCCAATGTATAAGGTTTATGAACAATTGGATGTTACTTTCATCTTTCTATTTTTATTTTATAACATACATATTATTTTTAGATATATTTAAGTGTTCTTATCAATCTAACAAGAATAAGAATTGCATGTTAAAATCTTGATCTTTTTCATACAGAATGATATAGATAGATAGATTATAAACATTAAAGTATTTTAGAGGTTGATATAGATAGATAGATTATAAACATTAAAGTATTTTAGAGGTTGATATAGATAGATAGATTATAAACATTAAAGTATTTTAGAGGTTGAGGATTATTCCCTTTTACAATAGTGTTTTCTTTAAAGTCATATTTTATGATTTATAATTTTTTTACCTTTTTTCTTATAAAAACATTTGATATTTCATGACCCTTTTATATCTGTTATATATGAAAAGAGTAATATATGAAAAATATAAAAAATTTAAAAGAAATAATGCTTGCAATGTGTAAATTTTGTTATTGTTACAACTAACACCTAAAGTGATTTTTTATGGAGATAGAGAAATGACCAAAATTTCTTTAATAATTGTTCCACCTCAAGTAAATATTTTAGTTGTAAATCATGAAAAAAAAAAAAAAAAAAAAAAAAAAAACCTGTTAAAAAAATAAAAACTAATTATTTTCATGTATCTTAGTAACAAATTTAAGTTTTGTAAAATCATTAACGAAGATCAGCTTATTATTCAACTTTAACCCCATAATCACTCAATTCAAATTTACTATAAAAATATTTTATGAACCGAATTTATCTAACATTTTATGACTTTTGAGGTTAAATATCCAAAATTAAACAACTAAGATGTATTTAAAAAAATCATTATGTATATAATAAAAACATAATAGAATTTATGCAATAGCTAAAAAGATTTGGATCTTTTAAAAAATCCCAAAAAATAAAAATAAAATAAAAGTAAAAATCCTATACATATACATTTATTCTTTAGAACTATGAATTGATATCAAATAGAATGATTGTACACTTTTTAACCATTTTTATTTAAAATTATAATATAATAATAAATATGTTTTTTTATTTAAATGTAATTTTTTAATCCTAATTAAAATCAAAACAACCTTTTTGTCTCTTCTTTAGGAAAAAAAGTATTTATTTGTTGGAACAATGGAATTTTTTAAAATATAAAAGAAAAATTATGTTATATTTTTTTTTTATTTATGCAATATCTAGTTCTCACTCAAGTCAAGTTTTTGAAATTTTTCTATAACAATATAAAGACTTTGAAAACATATTGGAAAAAAAATGTAAATACTCTACTTAAATATTATTTTTATAAATATATTTTAACCAAAAAATATAAAATATAAGGTAACAAAGCACTTCTTTACTACCATTAGCATAATATAAGCTTACTATCTTTAACAAGACTAAAAGACCTTGTAATATTTTATTTAATTAAGCAATGTTTGTCATGGTTTGTTTTAATAACAAACATATCAACTAACACAATTTTTGTGGCATTATCATAACATGGCACAATATTAGTGCAAAACTAAAATCAGCAATTAATGTAAAGACAATTTTTTGTTTCATCCTCTTTGAACAATTTTAACTAACACAACAATTATCTCATCTCTAATGTAAAAATTTATATGTTTTATATGTTTTATATTTTTATTTTTATATTTCTTTTCATTGTATGTACAACTAAAACATTCTAACATGTACTTCAAAAGAGTAGCATCTAATAGTAGTATTTGCAAAAGAATTATAAAATTCAAGATTATTTTGCACTTGGTTTTAAAAAAAAAAAAAAAATTTAAAGATCCAATCCATCTTCAGTAAAACAAGTATTTTAAAATTGCTTTTAATGACAAATTTCTCAAAGTTGGAGCTTAGAAAAGATTTTAGATTTATATGTGTGAAAAGAATAATTTTAATCTTTATTTATTTTTTATTTTTTATTTTTTTGGTTTTTTTACTTAATAAACTATGCATCATCATATAAACCAAACATGAAAAAATCTTAAACTTTAAAATAATTGTTTAATAAAATTCTCTTATACTTACATGGGCCACAAAATAGCCTAACACACAACAAAAGAAAATTAACGAATATATAAAATTTGATAAATTTCTCATTTTAAAATACTTTTAGATCAAGTGCACAAAATTTAAATGGTTGTTACAACCAAATTTTATTACCATAAAACAGAAAAATCTCATTATATCTAAGATTTAGTCAAATTAAAATAAATTATGTGTATTATTGATAAACTATCACAAAATATAAGTTTTTACATCTTTAATTTGACGACTTAATTATTAAAAACTAATTTTATTTTCTTTATTTATTTTAATTTATACAAATAAATAGTATCTCAATTATCATATTCTTCTTTATTTGACCATAAATAGAAATTTCCTTCTTTATTAACTATGTTAAGGTCTTTAATGTCAAACTCTTATGTTTTATCAATTTTCACAATTTTATTTTATTAATTCTTATCATCTCTACCAACATAATGATATATATTCTTTGAACAATGTAATTAAATAGTTATAATAGAAATATTTCTATTGTAATATTACATTAAAAACTAACAACAATTATTTATTGTTCATGAGGTAAATGCAAGCATTGCAAATATGCACAATGTAGTGAGATATTTGCATTTATTAAAAGATAATCAAGAAATTAGTCAAGAGATTAGAAAGTATCACAAATCCATCCATTATTATAATATTGTATTTATGAACAAAGGTTTAGAATGCTTGGTATTGTAATACTTTATATATAAAACATAACATATCAAATTGGTGATAATATATTGGCATCTACTCTCAATTCTTATAATTTGCATACCAAACAATTCACATTGAAATAGCAATCACATGATCAAGTCTATTCTTAATTTTTTCTAATTTAAGCACAAAACACCTTCTATTTGAACAAAGTAAATTATAACACAATGCTAAACTTGAGATAGATAGCAAACTTCATTACAAAAACACATATACATATTTGTAATAATTAATTAGACCAAATATTAAAGAATTGGACAAAACATGCATTTAACTGAAGATCACAATATAATAAAAAACAAAGCAATAACAAATAACCAAAACAATAATAATTAATAACATTCACCTTTATTAAATTAAATAGAAAATGATTCTTTATTACAACAAAATATACTTGTTTTTTATTATTTCTATTATTAGTGTTTTCCAAAACTAAAAGAAATCTATAGATAGCGACTATAGATGAAACTCATAAATTTTAAACACACTCTTATTTATCTTCTCTAAAAATCATGCTTCATCTTTATCCTATTCATTCTCTACAAAACTTTCACCCACCTATTTAGACACTTCCTGTCGTTGACCGTACCTAAAATATTAGATTTTGAAATATATATTATCAATTAAAAAGACAATTAAATGATGTGCCATGACTGAATTCCCAACATTATGATATAACAAGATTGATATATTTGGGATTGATATATTTGGGCTCGTCAAATCTTCATGTGGGAGGCTCCAACATGTTGGTTAAGTCTATCGTGCTAGTATCACGAAAAAGCGTGGTCAAACAGGAAGGTATATTTTCATTTCAGTCAATTTGATGCAACAAAAACTAGCCATATTCCAATGCGATTCAAAATTGATACGAAAACAAAAACCATAATAACTTAAAATTGGAACCACCTACGAACCCAGGAGTTGAGTCTCTTGAAGGCTAGTGGGGACCACGTAGGAGATCTTGGCCAGAGGCCGAATTTTATACCTATTTGAGGATCGTCTGTTCTACACTTGGGTTGCTGTCTCCTCATCGCAAAAAATGTTTGCATAATGTCACCACACTCTTCACCCAACACACCTCGCCGCACAGTGATGGTTCTGTGGAACGGATGAAGGTAGTCCTTACATTTAGGTTCTTGTTCACCAGATGAGGACACAGGAAACAGCCTGTTGGAGTGAAATGCTCAATACGTTGAATGTTAGCAGCTTGCGAGATGATAAATCCAGAAATATTAGGGTTCAAGCACAGGACGACCGAGCGGCATGAATACAAAAAAACAACTCGAGATCAGGGAATCAACATTTGGATGAACAAGTGGGACGCAAACTAGATGAGAGATAAGGATACAGAAGGCAGAATGCCTACTTGATCCAGCTTCCGTCTGCACCAAGAAGCGAGTTGCGTGCACCCCAAACAACCTCGCTCACTCGACCTTGCAAGATGGCCCCCGCACACATAGGACATGGTTCTAGTGTTACATATAGAGTCACGTCCTGCGTCAAATAGACAAGTTTTAGACTGTGTCAGCAGACTCACTGTAGACACTTTGCACCAACCTGCCAACTAATCACAAATGTGCAGCATTTCATGTAGAACAAACTACGAACATAAATTGCATGCCTCTTAGTATTGTTGAAGTACAAAAAACAATTCATAAACTTCACGTATTTACAACGACAGCTGCCTCACATTACCACAACATAAACTGCCGAATGCATTCAGATCATCTAGAAAGAACTTTAATTGAAATGAATACCAGAAAAGGTGCAGGTGATACAGGTTGAGAATAACTTACCGTCAGTCGCCAGCCGCCTAATTGAGCAGCAGCGCAGCGAATGCAGAGCATTTCTGCATGAGCAGTGGGATCACCAGTTGTCTCCACTCTGCGCTCACACACTGGAAAATCAACACACCATTACAAGGCGGATAGCCATTTGCACATGAAATGCAAGATGGAGATGTGGATTGCTCGAATCATAGAAAATTTTCCTAGTAAGAAATTTTTTTAGATGCTGAAGTGTGCCAAAGATCTTCTAAGCCTTGACACTCCAGGAGAGGATTACGTGTGCACTACACCCAATTAGGCAGGTTTTTGAAACATGAACTTCTCAAGCTCTGATAACAAAGGTTACAACCAAAGACTGTAGAACCTCACTTTTAGTAGATAATGTGGAGCTTTCTAGGTCAACCTCAGTGCAGTGAGTGAAGAAAGACGCGCAACGTACTTACTCGTTGTGAAATCGGGCAATGATCTTGTTCTTGTGCACAAGAACAGCACCAACCGGAACTTCGCCTAGCTTCGCAGCTTTTTTAGCCTCTTTCAACGCCTCCTGCATAAAACCTAAATCCTCCTCGTCTGTATATAGCCTCTTTGGAGGCTTCGCGACTATTGCTTTCCTCTTCCTCTGTCCGCCTTGCAAATTTAGATCCATGTTCTTGAAAGTAACATCATTGCTGGAGAGAGTAGAAGTGGTCTTCAACTCCTTGGATACTTGCTCCATCAATCCCTGTTCCGTACTTGCGCTTGTTCCAACTTCCCCCTTGCTTGCTTCCACGGATTTTCGCTCCAAGTCATCCATACTGGAGACAACAGGGTTCACAATCGTAATAGACTCATCTTTGGCTTCTTCGCCAGTCGTCTCCTTCTCTAGACTAACAAGGTTGGAGACTGTGGGAGTCGATGTACTGGCGCAATTATCCTTATCAATTTCCTTATCAGACACAACCTTGAGACGCAGCTGTGAGAATGGAGGCTCGGAGGAGACACACAATCTTCGCAGTGAATTCTTCCGGCGAAATTGGTGAGCAACGATCAGAAAGGGACGATGGGATTCTTGGTGAGGGGTAAGAGGCGGCGTGAAGCTGCCCAGCAATGAAGACGGTGTGGGCAGGGAATTGCGAACAATCACGGATGCGTCCATCTTCAAGAACGCAAGCGAGGAGGAGAACCTGGCAATTAAGAAAGGGCGAAGATACATCGATGCGGCCCTCATAAGGTCATGCTTAAATGACACATTCTAAATCCGCTGTAGACCCCGCATTCTTCTATTAATGCTGGTGATGGAAGAACAAACTCCACAACAACAAACAAACATGGACATGTCGACATTCTGACAAACCTGTTTAGCACACACAACTTCCACGAATCAAAATACAAATACAGTTAGGGTTCAATATTCGATTCAAGTTTCGGTAAAGCACCCCACGAGTCCAATCTCATTCCTGATGCAATTCAGCAAACTATCATGCATTCTCAGTGTTACGCAACGTAAAAAAAAATCGAACTAAAAAAAAATTCATGGCCATAGCTTGAATAAAAACCAAATGCAAGTCAAATTTCAACCCTAAAAAGCTCAATAAGAATTGCAACAGTGATGGCTAATTCGGAGATGGCTTGCTCGACATTCAAAAACGATAACTGACCTCCAATTCACGCCCTGGTCATGGAAATTGCAACTTCATAATGACACAAATGAGATTAAAAACAAATGCCTAAGCCTCGAAGAATCAAAATCGGGGTCGGAGAAGGAGTGAAAACAATAGGCAAGCCTCGGGAATTGCCCTCTGTCGGAGCAGAACATTCTGGCTTTGCAAATCACACTCTTCTGGTGGAGTGACGACGAAACCGCGGCCTGCAACCGGCGCGTTCCCAACCACGTCGGAGAACGGATGGGAACAAGATCCCGTGACGACAAGCTTTGCTTCACACAAAAGTAGAGTCTTGATTGTTTTCGAATATTCCAAAGTAATGATATGTTTGCAAATATTATACACATTTTGCAACCATCATTATTTTACAATAATTTTATTATTAACGTGTAAAATTATTATTTTTTCATACATGCACAAATATTGTACATATTTGTAAATAGGATGTTTGCAAACATCATTACTTTACATTAGTTATAATAAATAGTTATTTTAAACATTTTATAATATAATATTGCAGATGCTGATATTATCATTTATGGTTATATTTTGATATAGAAAAAAAATTATGTATTTTTTTTTAGTTATAATGAATTATATGGATTATGATACATAGGGAGCTAGGGATTCACATGCACTCTGTGTAACAAACAGACAAATAAAAATAAATCCAAAAAATTAACAAAAGTTAAAGTTGTTGGATGGATATGTTTCACCCAACAATACATCATTTGTAAATTTACCAAAATTATATGAATACCAAGTTTGGTTTTTAAAACAAGTTACAATTGAAATACACAATGCAGTTAAATTTGTGCTGTATTGTGAGTTCAAACAATTTTACTTGCATTAATCCAATACACCATCATTTTAAAAAATATATATTTTCAATTCTTTTCTGAACTTTGATTAATACATAATGCTTTTTTTGTTTTTATAAGTGGATTTCTATTCTGAATTATTTTGATATCAAATAAAGAAAGAAAAATAATGATAGATTTTTAATTAATGCTCTTAAATTTGAAACATAATGTGGAATATTTAGAATTCAATGTCATTTGATTTCAATAAAAATAAATTCCATGCATTAACAATTGTATGTATAAGATGTATAAAAAAAGTTCACGTTTTTTACTATATAGAGATATTGTTTTACAATAATAAATATTATGTGTATTTAGCAGATTTTACATAGAAAATTAATTCTTTTTTGAATTGGAAAATGAAAATTATGGTTTTTTTTGTTGTATATACTATTGAGTATAAATTACTAAAGTTTTGAGACGAGTTTTATCCACATATACACTGTCACATACTTTATGTCATTTTTTTACATGTTTCATATAGTTATTATTTTTAATTATTCTAGAACATCAAATTATATCACTAACTCTTTATCATCTAAAGCTTTAAAAGTTAAGTATACTTTAAAAGATACCACATCAATAATGCAATGGCAAATTACTTGTTTTTGTTTTGTTTTGTTTTTTCTTTTACTGTTACCAATAACATAATGATAAAAAAATTTAGAAGTAGTAAGAATGATTTGTATTTAGGATGAATGACCTTTATCATGCTTTTTCATGTCTAAAAACATATGAAAGCATATATATATATATATATATATATATGTATATATTTATATGGCAAAAAGTTACAATTAGTCAAAGTCACAATCCAAAAATACTAAAAGTAGAAGTAAAGAACATTGAAAAATCATGACAAGTTCACCTAAAGCATCATTTTCAGTAACATCATGTTACTTTAACAATACCTCTTCCACCCTCAACCTTTGAATTCAATTCCTTCACGATGCTCACATATCCTCCATTGCCCCAATTCCAACCGTAACCCTCCACACCGAATATACTTCCACGCATATTGGCTTGGCGACGGTAATCAAACGATAAAAAGGAGTCGGCGACGAACGAGAACGGACGAGGAAGGACGAGAACGGACGAGGAAGGACGAGAACGAACGAGGAAAGACAAAGGCGGCGAAGGGAGGGGACGAAGAAGAAGAAGGCGGAGCTTTCGAGGTAGGGATAGCGATGAGGGAGAGACAGGGAAGCTGGAGCCGGGGGGGGGGATTACTTTTACCGGTACTGCCGGTGCCTGCCTGATGCGGCAGCCAGTCGTCGTGTCGATGCTGACGCACTTTCTCTCTCTCTTTCTCTCTGTTTCTCTCTTGTATCTCTAGTGTAGTGGTGTATGGCGGAGCTTGACATGCCTTAATTTAGGAAGGAGCCCACAATTAGAAGAGGCAGTGAGGGATAACGGACACGCAGCAGCAGCAGCGGGAGGAGGTGCGCATTTGGAGTCGTGGTAGGTGCCTGTCTGTCTGCCTGAGTCCCATGAAATTGGGAATGGGAATAGGGAAGGTTGGAGTCGTGGTGGGTGCCTGTCTGTCTGCCTGAGTCCGGTGAAAAGGCCAACTGGGCAGAAGGAAATTGGGAATGGGAATAGGGAAGGCGGGTCGAAGGTGAAGAAGAAGAAGAAGAAAGAGGGAAGCGGGTGTCGGTTGTAGCGGCTGTTGGAGGTCTCTGTGGGTTCTTGGTGCTGGGGGTGATTGACGCGTGAACGGGGGTTGAAGACTGGTTTATCGGTAGGCACGCTGGCGAGAGCAGCAGGGCAAGGGAGGCAGAATTGGGGGGAGGGGGTTGTAGTTCGTGGGTCTGCAAGGAAGTTTGATATTGTGGAGCAAGAGATGATGTGCTAATTCTTGTGGATAGACAATTTTGCGGTGGGCATCATTCGCTAAGTTGGGGGCAATTGTCGATACGTGGTAATGTGACGACGACGATGGTGATGTTCATGTGATTGTTGTTGTGGTGTTGGTGAGACGTTCCTCGTGCGGTGTTTGTTTGTAAGATCCAATCGTGATTGGATTGGATTGGATTGTTTTGGGTGCCTTCGAATGTAATTAGGCGGTGATGGAGAGGAATTAGGAGGGGTTGGGGGTCAGGTATGAGATTTTTGTAGTGTCTATGGTGATTTGTTGTTGGCAACAGACAAGTGTTTGGCTCGATCATGCGGCAACCAGGTTCTGTTTGGGAGCTGGGTTTCTTGTTGAAAATTGCATGAGTTGCGCTTCAACATGGTCTTCTTTCATATACCTGATTGACCGATAGAAGAACATCCCGTTGCGCATCTCTAGCAGTCTTTGCGAGATCGTAAGTTAGAGGAAACTGGATGGTAGATTGATGCTTGGTAGGTTAGGGTCCGTTTTATGAAGGACGCTAGTTCTTTGTAATTGCAATTGTGCTACCTATCCTGGTGTTGTTTTGTCATCCAAATGAAAATTTCTGCTATTCGATTTATTTAATCACGTATGTTTCTGGAGGGTGGGGGTATGTGCGATATATTCTCCTGTCGCCGATGTCGACGTTATCGTCCTGTGGCTGATGGTTTCATGTGAAGTGTATTTATAGGCGCCATGGAAAAGGAAACCAAGGAATGGGGAAATAAGGAGCAACGTACAATGTTACATATATTGAGAGTTATGTTTCCTGAGGTGAGAAATGAGTTTTCTTTGAATGGATTTCAATCAGGGTTTCCATTACCTAGGGATTCTTGCAACTTCTGTTTATTCTACAATGGCTGGGGTCGTTTGCCAGTTGCTGAGTTGTTGCGTGAGGTTTTCATACTTAGTTTGATGAATTACAATACTTGCTTTATAAGTGTATACATCACTCTATTCTTTAGGTGAGTTTCAATGACTCATCATTGAACTCGCACGTGCAGGTGGATATACGGATCATAAAGGCGACCGTGCTTGAAGGCAATGATATAGATGCAGCTGTAGAGTTTATCCTCACGGAAGTACTTGAGCAACCCTCGACTGCGAAAGAACTCATATCTGGATTCCTTAAGACGGCCGGGGACTCTAGTGGTAAGGATTCTATCGAAGTGAAGAGTGTAGACCATTATGAAGTCAAAGACCAGAAACTGTTTGACACAATGAGTGGTATGTCTAATGCTACTGTATCTTCTATTTAAGACGGAAATATTTTTGTCGATCAATAACCTCTAATTAATTTGCGGTCTGACAAAGCAGTCGAAGGTTCGAAATTGTCCTCCTCAGGATTACTGCCCATTTATATTCCATCTGGAACTGCCAGGACCGTGGTAGAGTCTGTAACCTGCGATGAAGTGCTCCATTCTCAGTGCATGAGCCTCCCACACCTGAAGCGACTTTTGAGCAGTATTGATACGCTGCTTTTAAGCGATATTTCATATTTTAACTTGTATTATTCAATTGCTATGATAATTTTAATTTTCTTCTTTTAGAGTTGTCTATGGATTAATTTTTCAGTATGCTGTCCCGCAGATGGTGAAATGACCCTTTCTGCATTTTTTCGTAAAGCTTCTGACGGAAACCAACTTGTCCAACCAAAATCTGAAGTGGAAGTTAAGGACGTGTCTGCAAATATGGATGCAACTATGGCAGAATCTCTCTATACGAGCGTCGTGGATGCTGACATTGAAACTGATCATCCAGGCACTGATGCTGGGACCAGAAAATTGGGAGATCCATGGTGTGAAGATGAAAAACGGTTGGAGAAGCACACTAGCAGCCAAGGAAGAGGATGCGATTACGACAGCGACGATGATTACTCAGATCTGCCGGAGTTTAAGAGCTTACTAATCCCCGTGCCGACTGAACAGTTCGACGGCATGTCAAGGTATTCATGTGAAGGCAGTAGTTTGGTGGCATCTTCAGTTCTGGAAGAGACATATGATGGATTGTTCAACAGCAGTTCTTACAGCGTGATGGATGGATCTTCACAGCAGCTTGGTATTGATGCGCTTGACGAACTAGTGAATAGCGCGAAGTCTGACAAGGTTTGTTTTTATACAATCTAGTTTTCATGAGTCAATGCATATTTCATGCTCTTAATTTTTTTGGGATGTTCCGTGCTATTGAATGTTTTGTGAGGTATTGTGGGTGGTATTGAGAAAGAGACAGATAGGCTGAAATGCCGGGAGTGCACCTAACTGCAGTAAGATTGGCTTTAGATGTCGTATAAAATGCCAGTATTTTGTTGCATTATTTTGCAACTCTCACAACCTGGTCTGTCTTGAATTGGTCTCAGGCGTTGAATATACGGTAGTTTTGTGTATTGTGTTGGTCCAGGAAGCTCTGGTCACAGCAATTGAAGCTATGAGAGCAATGAGATCTGCAGTTGAACAAGCTGAAGCAGCTGCACAACAGGCAAAGAGGGATGCCATGAATGCTGGTCTGGACGTACTCGCCGAAGTTGAAGAGATGCAAGATATGCTGGATCAAGCTCGGGGCGCTAATGAGAGGGTATGTTTCTCGTGTTCTTTTTCTTGGCGTTCAATACCAAACACAATAAGCAGTAGCCCAAACCTCTAAAACTGGTGAGGTAGATGTGATTCTGGATGCTGTGCTGCTTCATCAGAAGCCACATTACTAGATGCCATCGCTATTCTATTTTGTCCACTTCGTTGAACGATACATCCTATGCTCTTCAATTGGACTGAAATGTACTTCATCCACAAGCATCTCTTATCGATTTAACTTCTTGGCTATCTAGAATTTTAAAGTCTAGTCATACTTATGGTTTTTATTGATATTTGTAGAATTTCCTAGAAGTTTACGGAGAAAAGGCGGTTCTTAGAACTGAATCGCAAGGACTGCAGCGTCGACTTCAACAACTGAAGGCAGAGAAAGATAGAGCCTTAGCAGCTGTTCAAGAGGTATGTGTCATCTGGTTAGGGTTAACACGTATTTGTAGTTTTTGTCGGTGTTGTTAGTCTGTTACTTAAAGATGGGTGGAGCGCGGTTTACTTCGTACACTTGATCCAAGTACATAGTATGTTCACAAGCTCCATACTACGTAGGTGTTTTAAATATATTATTTATCTGTTAGTATGCTTCGTAGCACTTGTTTTCTGTAGATACATCTGGCAGTTCTGAAATCCGTTCAGAAATTTGACGGAATCACAATCAAGTACCCGAATCTTCTATCTAATTATGTTGAGCGGATTAATATTGGGAAATAGATGCGGGCAACTCTTCAAGCACGGATTGATCGTGCAAATGATGAGAGGGAGGCTGCTGAGGAAGAAATGCGTCTGGAAGAAGAAAGAGCTCGGGCCATGCTGGCTGTGGAGGCAGAGCTGACGGCTAAAGTTGCTGAAGAGTCACGAAGGCTTGATGCCGAAGAGGAGGCATGCACTAAGGTACAAAATCGTAGTTTTTATTTTGTTTTATTTTTTGTGGTTAAATATAAACGAAGACTTTTTCCTTCTGTAGGTCCTGAGGAATTGTTGACCTATTTAATTCGTCGACTAACATATGTGTATGTGTATGCTGTTGCTTCAGTTGCGGGATTTCCTCATCGACCGTGGCAGTATTGTGGACTCTTTGCAGTAAGTATTAGTCTGGGTTCTATTTGTTTGCTTAGAAGAGTATGGTTGTGAAATAATTGTTGGATGCACATTTAATTCTCCTTATTGAAGTGTATTCTTAATCCTTTTTAGGCGTGCCTTAGCGGACTGCATACAAATTGTGTTGTCGTTGAAGTAATAGTGCAGGATAAGTAATTGCAAGAAGACTGTCTGTCACGAACCAATGCTCCACAAATACATTTGCTGACTTGCATGCTGGATTGTGTGATACAGGGGTGAAGTGGCAATAATCTGCGAAGATGTGGAAGCTGTAAAAAAGCAACTGGATGAAGGTATTCTGTTTGGAGAAAGTGGCTTTTTGAATATGCTTGGCTCTCGCTCTCTTAGCAACTCTGGCAGTGTGAAAGCAGGTGACGCTGGTGACAGTCATTTCGGTGCTCTCAACCATTCTGGCAGCAGTTATCGGAGTGTTACCAAGGGCGGAGAAGGTGATGTTAATATTATGGATCTATCCACCTCAGACGTTGTTGACCAAGCCTCCAGGGTTACTCCTACCCATGCTGAAGAATACTGTAGGACTGGACCTACGGAGTCTGATACTGATTTAGGTGGTGATGACTGTTGGAATTTCGTGGTAACGTCATCTGGCAACAGCAATGAAACCTCCGACTCATTTCCAAGTTACGTGAAACGAAGCACATCTAATGCTGTTACAGCTTAAACCTTCAAGGTGAATACCATGATGTGATTTTTCAAGAGATAAAAGATTTATTTCGGTCTAGTTTTGGTAAGTTTTCTGGAAATAAACTCGTTGTAGTTCAACGGCAGTAGATGCTCCAACGTAATTGCGGCTTGCTAATGACGAGGAAGTTGACATTGGTGTTCCAAGTGCACGTTGGTGCAGCTCACTGGTGACCTCAGTATTGTTACGTCTTGTTTATATATTCACCTTCTCCGCTAAAATATATAAAGCGGGGAATGGTAGTTCAAGTTGTCTTCACCGTGTTAATAGTAACAGGCTTTTCATAGGGTTCTTTTCAAAATTTAAATGTAGAGACTTTCATTCAGGTAATTAGAACTTTGTGTCTGCTCATTTTGGGATGCATCTAAGGCACTTGTAGTGGAGAGGGCACCCCCTTTATTCAATATTTGCATTGTCCCAAATCTTGTAGACCTTGAGATCCTTAGCAGCTCCGCGTTGGAAGAAAACTTGGAGATTTTCATAATTGAATCCTCGAAGCTCAACTTGAGCATCACATTAAGCCCTTCCCCTTTCGTAGTCCTCTGTTTTTTTGTTTTGTTTTGTTTTGTTTTTTTGTGCCTACATCAACATTTTACTTAAGTTGCAAAAGTTCTGTGCTCCATTTTTACAAGCCCAAAAATTGAACCGTGTTCTAAAGATCTGAACTTCGATTTGAAATTTTGAATTTCATTGTTTGATAGGATGTTTTTGCACTCTAAATAAGTGTCATCAGTGTTGACAAAACTGATGTTAAGGTTGGTTATCCAACATAGGATACTCATTGCAAATATTTTGTGTCATTGAATTTATGTATTGCCACACTTTTGCTGTATTTTGCATTGGAGTAATTTGTTTGTTATTTTCAATAATGGGTCTTGGTTTTTATAATATTATATTTAATAAATGCCATATTAAGTACTTTAAGTTTAGATTTAATACCTTTTCTGATTTAACATATTTTTCTGAATGTAAATATGTTAATTTAAAACTTCAACCCTCAAACCTGAATTCATATTTTAAGAGCAAAACATCAAGCACGTGCAATTAAATACTCATGTGTTTACGTATTTATTATTATTATTATTAGTAGTACTTTTATTATTTTCATTATATTGATACACATAAATATATCAATTTACTATAATTCAAAGTGCCAAAATTAATTGTATTTCTTATTGAAAATACATGTGTTAGATTTTGTTATTTAATATGTTCGTCAAAACATTGATATACGTTTTATTTATGATAATTCTACTTGTTATTTATAAAATATCATGTAATGCATTTGCAATACTAAAAACATCATTTGGTAAATACAAATATGAATAACTTCTACTTGAAGATGCAAAAACACTTTTGATTTAGACCGTCTTTTGCGTTGATCGTTTAGATTTTGAATCAATCCTTTCAAAAAGCAGGAAAGCCTTTGCGAAGTTGATTGGGTTTTCGGAGATGGGCAGCAGAAAGATGTGGATGACGATGGGAGACGAGGCACAAAACAATATTCGCGAAGAGCTTAAAGTAAGTGCCGGAGAAGCGTCGTGAGTGTTTCGAGGATGATTTTGGTCATGTCATGTTTTTGTACTGGTAAACTGTGGAGGCTCTCGTACCTACAGCTGAACTGGGTGACCTAGGGTTTTTATTTTTTTTATTTTTAATATCCATGTAATACCGTCCTAGCTTATATCCATGGTGAGGGTGGTAGATCAAATTGAGATCGATTTCAATCAAGCTCACTGGATTGTCACGAATCCGTTGCCTGTGTCTTGCGGGGCTGTCCAGCTTCGACTTTCAAAGAAACACTTCTGAATTTTCTATTCTGGTTACTTCTGAATTTTTACTTTCGAGTTTAGGGTTCGCACGTCGATCAGAATAATGGGTTTGTATCATTTGTCTTTCTTTCTCGTTCTCTCCCGAAACAATTTAGGTCCACCACGTCTGCTTGATCACTCAGAGTCCTGTCTTCAAGTCAAAGAGGACACAATTTAGTGAAAACCAGATTACAAACTCCACAACTACGTGAGAAATCTCGACCTTGATTTTGGGCACAGTGAAGAAACAGTGAGACAAAATGCTTCCACAGAAAACTACGAAGCTTCTAAAACTCATCTACAGTGCATCGACGTTGCTGCTACTCTGCTACAGTCAACAACGTTCCGCAACGTGACTATCCTAACAGTGACTTAGCACAAGGTTTCTAAGCATAAACTAATGGTATCAGTGAACATTGTCAAGCTCTATGGTGATGAGCCCATTTGTCAAGGCGGATTAATAAAATTCAACCAGAACCACGTTTACCACAAGTCCCACATATGAAATATCTGCAATTGGCAGAGTAGGAGCTGTGCATTGTAATTGAAATACAACAAGGGAATACTTTGGAGTGATTCTAGCTTTCAGAGGAATTGGTAATCAAGATAATATGCCAAGAAAGCTGAAAACTACGTGTATACTCTTTGTGAGGTGATAATTCAGAATCTGTCCCAGAATTCCGACATGTTAAAAAATAAACAGTGTTGAATTTCTGCGTTCCTAAAATAATTGCGAGGCACTATTGGTGGTTGGAAACGTTCTGGTAAGATTGTCTGGACTTATTCTCTGGCTTTGGAGGAGCTGCTATTTTTAGTAGCCCTTGAATCAAGTTGACAGCAATTTTTTGATGCTGTTGTATTCGCTTGTGGACGACAGTTCCTTTGTCTTCAGTAATGCCGCAGGTGATGTGGGCTGGCTATGTCCCACTGGTTAAGGCATTAAGACATACCACTGTGGATGCCCTGTGCCTTGTCGTAAAACACCTTAATCCAGCTTACAGCAACACATGTCCCATCGGAATCAGTTAATTAGTAATATTCGAACTGTGAGCCAGCACTGAGCAATGCTCAACATTCAACATCGTGTATGGTAGAGGACAGTTGCTTCTCTTCCAAGATTAGCAAGTTGAATCAGTTGATGACGTCTTTTACAGGCAGTATGATATCAAAAAGTATAGATTGCATTTTTTTCTGCTTCATTTTTCACTTGGATGTAGCAACTGTTTCAGTTATACTTAAATTGAGTTTTCCAAAAAATAAGAAAATAGTAGGAATTACTTTATTTTGAATAACGGCCCATTTTAAAATAATAAAATAAAAACAACAATAACATTTACAAAATATCATTGAATTATGTGAATAAATTCACATGCATTTTTTAAAAATAAACCAACTAGATCTTAGCATGAATTCTCTTTAATGTTGAAACAATTTTTGGATGATTGAAAAATCGCCATCTTGGCAAATAGAGCTTATTTTTTAAGGTTTTAAGGGTTGTTAAGATTGTATTTCACTACAAGCGCACTTGTGGTTATATTGCATAGTAGCACTTTATTTAGAAGTTTACATAAGAGCTATTGGTCACAAAGTAGAGTGAAGAAGTGCAACTTGTTTTATTTTATTTTATTTTATTTTAATATTTTGAATTTGTTGACAATAATAACACTATGAAAAATGACAACTTATGTATAGTATATCAAAGATAATTCTATGACCACAAGGATTGGTCATACAAGGAAAAATATTGTTGCACAAGCCACCAACTTCAACTTATCTATGTTTACAAACAATGAAGGAGAGATAATTCCATCTTATTATCTATATTACTAACATAGTTGTTTGCACCCGACTAAGCATATTACAAGTGAGTCTCTATCTTTGGAATTTTTAAAAAGCTACACGGGTTTTCTCTTATGTATAGAACCACACAAAATAATTATAGACCAAGAGCTTATAAGAAATGCAATGAACCAACTATATTGCAATATTATGATTGTATGTTTTGTAGGTGGTAAAATAGATGATGTTGGATTAAAAAACTCAATAGAAAGGCCTAGAATTATTAATAAGAGAAGCTATCTTGCTTTAAAAAAATCTTGGTTGAAGCTACTTCTATTTGAAAACTACATCTAAAGAAGTTACTTGCTGAATTTTTATTAAATTTCTTTATAGATTAAACATTATTTTTTGCATGTTGTAGTTTTGATCCAAATTTTGACTTACTTGCTATTTAGAACCTACAAGAAAACACTCATTTAAATTTATTTAAGATGTCATAATAGATTGTTCTAAAAAGTCTTATAGAAGAAATACTCACTATTGCTTTATAGCTTATAGCTAAACTAAGACATATTTTGGATTCAAGTGCAAAAAAGAAAAAACTCATTTGAGCTGCATTCTTACATCATTTGAGCTTTTAGTATACTCTAAAGTCTATTAAAATTTAAAAATCTCAGATATATTTTATAATACTTTAATCAACCTCAAATAAAACTTAAATAAAATTTAATAATCCTCATTAAATCTTTAAAAAAAATCCTAACCACTCAAAAGAAATCTTTGGAAAAAATATAAAAACTTTAAAAAGAAATACTAAAGAAATCCTAAAAAAACCTTAGAAAATATTTTTAAAATTATAAAAAATACTAATAAATTTCTAAAAAATCTTTAAAAATTCATAGAAATTCCAACTATATTTTAATTGAAGCTTAATTAAAATTTATAGAATATTTAAGACTTTAATGATTACTAAATTTATTATTTATCTTGTCCCAGATACTTCAAAAGTCTCAATCTTCTAATTTGCAACAAGCACATAAAATTTGAAAAAAATGAAATTATCAATAAGAAAAAAAAAATACTTAATCCACTCAAATATTTGCCATCTTCCTTCTCTAGCCTTAATGTCAATCTTTCAACATCAATAGCTCTCTATTACACCTTTAAATTAATTTTAAATTTTTTAGAAGTGATATTATCCATCAGATTACAAAAAAATCATATTAATCCATTAAATTACTCAAAATTATAGAAATCCTTATTGTTTTTTAAATCCAATTTCTAAAACTATAATTTGCTTGAATTTTAATGACCTTTGATCTAATAGTTAGATCAAGATTAAATGCATAACATACATGCAAAAAAATTATATTTACAAACTTTTAAACTTTTATTAGTTAATCTGCTATAAAATTCACAAATTTTTAATAATATATATTTCTTTATTCTACAAAAAGTAAAGTTATTCAAAATTATCCTAACTTGAAAATATCTCAGAAATTTATTACATACTTAAATCACTCTCAACTAATTACCTAAAGAAAACTTATTAATTTTTTACTCAATCTTACTCTTTAATCAACAAAAGAACCTCATACTTACCATAGGTGCACAATTTTGTGCTTTGGAATCTAATTTCAACCTTGGTTCACAACCAATCTTCTTTAGATATTAATCTATGATTTTCTAGGTAATTTTTGCCAACGGTTACTCTTTATTTTCATCTAAAGTCACATATAATATAGATTTTTCTAGTCTACTTTGTTTTTTCATGTTTATGGTTCTATAAAATAAGTAGAAGTTGTTTTTACAAACACATAAAATTAACATTAGGTGTTTTACTACCTTCCTACCTTTTATCTAGTTTTTCAAAATAATTTTACTACTATATTTTTTATTGCATCTTAGAGTTATGGTATAATACCACAACTAATTCTATAGAGACAATGATAAAGAATTCTTTAAAGTAGTTAAGATACAACATCTAAGATCTATTAGTAAAAAATTATAAAACTCTTAAGATATTTGAAAAAAGAAGATATATAGATTTAAAAATATATATTTTAATTTTTATTCACTTATACAAAAATAATATACAACCATCAATTTTTTTTTTATGGTCCATCAATTTTTTCTATGGCCTAGCAAATGAACTAACTTTGATCATAATTCTTACTTTTAAGTAACAAAAAAAAACTTATGGCATATTTAGCCAAATTTAGGCAAAATTTTGTTCATTAAACTATTTCTACTACCAATTTAGTAGAAAGTAATATAATATCTTATTAAATCACGACTTTTTAAAAATAAAATGATATAAAGTCTAAATCTTACTTTCAAAAAGAGACAATGTCTATTTGGCTTGTGCGGCATAATAGAGTGGCTATTAAAATATAGACATAGCAACTTAGTTCACATATTGATATGCATTGTGTTTTATGCTCTCTACTAATGTTTAAGATCATATTATACAAATATTGATAGTGTCATCAAGCTTGTTAGATATTGAATTGGACCACCTTGCTTTTATATAAATTGACATTTAGTACTTAGAAATAGAATCCTTAAAAAGAATTTACATGGAAGTAAATTATTTTTGTAGAAATATCTCTCTTTAGTTTGAATGCTTCTACAAGACATGATCATTGTTAAGAGGACTTTGCCTATGGACCATTTAGATTTTTTTTTGAAAAGAAAATATGGAGTGACTTCCACATTAAAAGTATGATTTTGAGGAGCTAATAGAATATGGTCAAATTAGTTAGAAAGTAATAAAGATGAAATTAGAAAAACATCCAACACACAATATTTTTTTTGAAGAAATGAAACAAATCCTAAATGGTAAAACACCTAATTCATGCTAGTATGAACAAAGTAATTAATTAGAACTTTAAAGTACTGCAATGTAGCTTGATAATACACAAAAGTGTAAATAAATAAAGTAATAACAATTACTTCACATAGTACTCTCAACTCTACCTTCATAGGTATTAGGAATAAAGCTATTATTTTTGCACCATGTTTCATTCTATCAATGCATTGTATGTATTCCATTTTTGTGTAAAAAGAAAAAGAGAAAATAAACTTTTGGATGGCCTGTAAGATTCTAAGTTGTAAAAGTGGAAATTGTATAAGATGAAAGACAAAGATGTTTTACTGTGAGGTGATTATTCTATATAATCCAAATCCTAAATAGAAGTGGTGTAAACAACCATGTACACTTATATACTGCTAAATAAAGGAGATTAAAAAAAAATCTTCTTCTTTTCTCCTAGTAATTTATGGCGAAAATGTGTGTGTATGTATGTATACTTGTGTGAAAGTTTTAAAATAAAACAAACAAAAACAAAAACCTACTTCCAATGGGAAGAGCCCCATATGCATTGGAACCAGTGACCCACCATCACAGACCCAATTATACAGACCCACCTCATGAAGATCCTAAGATCTCTCCCCCAAGTTGTCAAGGTTCTTGCTTTACTTGCCATAATGTCTTATCTCGTAATACCAAACGCTTTAACTCATTATGTTTTCCGAAGAAACATTAAATAAAATAAATAAACAACAATTAAATACAATCGGGGGAATAGACGAGAGACGTTAGAGTGTCAGTAGAGCAGACACATACACTGTGCCGAATATTGCTTGAAACAGACCAGCGCTGTAGGAGAGAACAACGTCCTGTAACAAGGGAACAAATCACGGCACTGCAAAGCAAAGCAACGGAGGCGGCGCACACACCGCGTCTGGGATTCTGAACAGCACCCCCACCAGTGTCAGTTTGTCAGTTTTAGAGGGGCTTGATTGATTGAAGCAAAAGGGACAGAGAGACAGAGAGAATGAGAGGAATAGCTTGGGAGGGATCGACGACAACAAAAACGAGGACTAACTTAACATCGATTGGGGAAGACGATATAACCAAGTTCACGGGAGGGGTAGGTTGACGCAGGACCACCATAATAACTCGCAGCGTTTCGAGGAGAAGGAGCGACTGAGAGCAGCCCACAGAGAACCAACCCCATCGCAGCAGCGAGGGCATTCTTCTCTCCAGTGTGGGCCGATGGGGTAGGCATCTGGGATCCTGGCAAACGGTAACTCACTCCCGCACTCCTTTTGCCAGCACCCCAGCTTAGGAATATGCCACGATTCCGAGCTGCTTTTTTTACTGCCCCTGCGTTGCCGCCGCATTCTCTCTTGCTCAGTCTGGTGGACCAGCCTCAGATCGATGGCGGTGGTCCGAACCATGAGCACCAAAAGGGGGCCTGCATCTTCTACCACACAGGGTACAGGCAAGGTCGGTACCAACTAAGAACAGGTAAAACTCTTGAATAGGATTGGCGTTTGGCATCTGAGGGCGATGCAAGGAAACCAGGAGCACCGAATCCTGGCACCATCGCTTCCCAACTCCTGTTCGGGGAATTGTTTTTACTGGTGAGATGTGGACGCGGGATTCAGTTTTGCTTTGGGAGGAATATCCCGCCGCAGTTGCTGCTTCTGCTCTCTTACCCCGATACTGGATCTGGCGTCTACTGCCAACTTCCACTATCTGCGGTCGCCGTGGCCACCAACTCTGATCTGATTCTCGGTGACGTCTTCGTTTCGATCATCGAATACAACGCCACATCATGTGTGTGTGTGTGTGTGATGGTTCTGAATGTGTGTGTGTGTGTTTTTTTTGTTTGTGATTTTTTTTCATCGAGAAGGCATTGCAACATTGTTTCAATCCGAACCTCATCGCCAGTCTCTTACTGTTCGTTACTTTATGCATTGAGATTGATTTGTTCTCTGCAGGTATTGATACTGATATTCTGAATTTGCACTTCAAATAATGCGTGAATGGTTTGGGAATATGAGCTGTTACTGTTCTCAAACGTTTTTCTAGCATCATATTTCACATGAAATCACTGTCATGAATATGCATGTGTGTGTGTAACTATGTAGTTTTGGACACATAGAGTTGAATAAAAAAGTTTCTAAGTTCAATATAAGTTTTCTTTTAATAGAGAAACTGTTGATTATTAGTGTGAATCAATTTGTACATATGCTGTTTCTTAGAATGGCCATGATTGAGTTATAGTCTACTCCCATTTTAGTATGGAAGGCATAGACAGATTCATCAATTGAAGCCATCGTCTTGGACAATCCAGTAATCACATGCATCCCAGTTGTGAAAGAATACCATGAATTTGGTGCATATTTTGGCACTTCAAAATTGTTATCCCACAAGTAGTAATCACTATGCCTAAAGAATGATTTCTACATTTCAAAACATCATTTATTACTGTACAGTAATTGAAATTTTATTAAATTGCAACAGATGTTTATTCTATGTCTATAAGATCAAAATGATGTTATTCTTTTAAAAACTACAGTACACAAGCCTATGATTCATTTAAAATAAAACAAGAATTGTGCTTGTTATTAGTTATGAATGAATATTAATATTGAATCATTATTTATTTATTTAAAGATGCATATAGTGTTCTCTCCATGAATTAATCTTTAAAAAGTGATTAATCTCGAGTAATTTATTTAAAATTTTGAAATTGACTCTGTTCTATGGTGTGTAATTAATAATCCCTACTATCTAATAATTAATTTATTTTTATTAATTTTTCTTAATTAAAAAAATAATAAACAGAGACCATGTAGTTGGAAATGCCACATGACTACACATGATTGGCCAAAGCACATGGCAGAAGCAATTAACCTAGATTATAGGGCACTAAGAAGGATAATTTCTATCATGCCTTTAACATGCTACCTTAATGATTAATAATCTTTAATGGTTGATATTTTTATATAATTGATGAAATTACTACTTTATCTTTCACCAATTATACTATTTCTTTAATATTCTTTTGTCAGTTTATAGGCATCTTTGATGTGATGATAGTAGGAAAATTCCTTATTTAGTTCAAACTTTATGAACTTATGTGTGCATGTATTTTTTTATTTTTATTTTTATTTTTTAAAATTTAAAATATTTACTAAAAAATTGTTGGCTTTTAAATTTACACTTTTTATAACTTATTTTTTATTATGTGGTTTTTGATGATGGACACCAATTCTAAAATCAATTAATGTAGTAGGATTCTATGCTTGATTGTGGTGCTATGTCAATAGTGAGGGTATATTTCAATGCTTTGTATGACCATTGTAATAGGACATGGATAGGATATTTGTATTATTTGCACATAGAAATATATATATATATATATATATATATATATGGAGTCGTTTTTGAAAAAATTTCTAGAATCTAGGTTAAGATGTGGGTTTAAGTGGGATCCACCATAGAATTTTTTAGAAAGACTTAGGACGGTTATTGTGGTAGATCCCACCTCTAAAATCTTCTATAAGGGCAATTATCTTAGTCAAGCCTATCACTAGGGGCATTCTAAAAAATTTAAAGATAGTTGAACAAAGTATAAATAAGATTGACTAAGGCTATTTGAACATTCGATTAAGTATGGCTTCAAACTCTTTCTCTTGATAAAGTTTAGTTTACTTGTTTATTCTATTTGGTTCTATTTGGTTCTATTCTCTTTTATATAGTCTTATCTTTCACATTCCATTCCATTTAGTGACTTTTAATTTTATTTTGATGTACTCGATCTTACGTTGTGATGAGATCTTTGTTATTATGGATTTGATAAGGTTTTAGACCTTAGAGAATCCAATCTTGTTTCAACTATATGTCATATATATATATATATATATATATATATATATTTATCTTGATAATTATCTAAATAATATGAATAGGTAGAAGTAAGTCAAAGTAGATAAATATGATAATATCTTGTGGAAAGCTTCCTAGAAGCTTCATAGACGCTGCTTTGCCTTTATACATATCTGTAAGTGATTGGTAGGTTGAAAACTTGGCCAACAAAGAGGCAACGTATCAACATGTTGACCACTTGTAGTACAAGTTGGATATATGGTACACACCTAAGAAACTTGCCTTGCAAATTAAACATATGTCTTGCAAGTTGGACATGAATTAGAGGTCATATAGCATGTCGCCATATAGTTTTTAGTTAAGTATATAAAGAGGTAAGAGTGAGGCCTTCCTCACTCTTATCAACTTCTTTCTTGCCTTTAGTCTAGTTTCAAGAGTCTTATGTTTTCTAGTCTTTCGCAATAGCCATTCCAATTCTTCCTTGAATATACATACTTTCTTCTATTTTGTTACTTTTTTTTTGACACATATTCCACAAGTTTATGTAACTTCTTCTAGTTTGTATCCTTGATAGTTTGATAAGAGTACACATATAATATCAGAGCTTTGTTCTTTCTTGATTAAGAATATATTATCCCTTTCTCTTGACAAGACATAAGTGTATTAGAAGTTGTAGATTACTCTCTTCTAAATTGATATTGTTTATAGATTTTTTTTTTTGATTCTTGAATATTGTATTCTATAAGAATAGACACCTTACTTTTAATTGTGCTAGCATGGCACACCTTGCAGAAACAAAGAGTACAATGGCTCAAATACAAGAGCAAATGAGAGAATTAATGCTTGCAATGCATCAACTCAGTCTACAACCACAAGGAGCAACAAGATTATCAGGCAATGAAGATATAGAGATGATTGGAGTTGCTTCAACATCTACACCAAGCCATACTACTGCTCCTACAACACAACATCATTTAAATTTCGAGAAACCAAAATTGAATTGTCTAAGAAGTTTGATAGTAGATGATCTGAGTTTCGAGGATTCATCAATCATGTACAACTGGTAATTGAACTACAACCTCAAAGTTATCCAACTCAAGGATCACAAGTTAGGTTTATTAGAACACTACTTTCAAGTTCTGCTTTATCATGGTTTTGATCATTTCTTGAATGACATGATTTAAAATTGAGTAATTTGGAAGCATTCTTAGTGGAGTTTTGATCTATGTATAGAGAACATGATGCAATTCATGTTGTAACCTACAAGATTCATATCTTAGGATAAGATAATTGATTAGTACTATTATACGCTTTACAATTTCAACAATTAGCAATAGATATCAAGTAGGATGATGCAGCATTCATCAACCAATTTTTCTATGGTGTCATGTTGTAATACGACCATATGGTGAAAGATAATAATATGAATCTTATTATAGAAGAGCCAAGTTAAAAGAAAAAATAAAAAAATATGGATAAAAGATACAAAGGTAGTAAAACTTTTAGTAGTAATGTTGTTTTTTTACAAAAAATAGCTTCTACTTACCTTATAGGGCCAAAAATAAGGTAAAATAATGTAGATTGGAAAAATAAATGATGTAGATATCTTTAGAAGGAAGTTAAGAGTAAATTCTAGCAAAAATTATCTAGAAAAATTAGATATTAATATTAAAATTTTGTGGATTTTATTAAGGTTTGATTTAGGATTTACGATTAGGATTTGGTTAGGATTTGATTTAGAGTTAGGATTTGGTTGGGATTTGATTTAGGATTGGAATTTAATTTAGGATTTAAGATTTGGTTAGGATTTGATTTAGGATTAGAATTTGATTAAGATTTGGTTTAAGATTTAGAGTTTGGTTAGGGTTTGATTTAGAATTAGGATTTGATTAGGATTTGATTAAGATTTGGTTTAGGATTTAGGATTTGATTTAGGATTTAAGATTTGATTTAGGGTTTAAGATTTGATTAGGATTTGATTTAGGATTTAGGATTTGGTTAGGATTTGATTTAGTATCACAAACATAGAAATACAGGCTCGAGGTCTAACAAGAAGTTCAAGAAGAACTAGCAAGAAGTAGATTAATCAGATGAATACAAGAACAACACCAGAGAGGTGAGCTAGAGCTCCAAGACATGTGTTGTCGAGACTGAAGAACTCTTCAACCTCGATTCTAATATATATTCCTATTTAGGAAGCTTTTCAAGCAACTTCTACCAATTAGGAAGCTTCTAGAAGGTTCCAGAGACTTGCTTCTAGAAGGTTCTAGAAACTTGTCTCTAGAAGGTTCTAAGGACTATGTCCCTAACATCACCCTTTCCTTTAGCTTCGAGGTCTTTGAGAAGCAATGTTGTTGTTAATCAGTACCAACGCAAGAAAATGAAGATCTGTCGTATAACGTCTGCTATGAACTCTAATTGTTGTTCATGAGGTAAGTGATTCATCGATCCTTGAAGCCAACTGTAGTGGCCAATGCCTTCGACTTCTGACCAAGTATGAACTTCCGTGTCTTCATTGTAAAATTGTCCTACAAACACGCCTTTTGGCTGACCATCGTAAGTAGGCTCGAACTCAAATACAATCACCAGTGATCGGTTACTTTGTATCCTTCGTCGTTGTCATGGTGTAGGCGGTTCTTCATCTCGGGGTCGCCTTCGTGAGCTAGTTGGTTGAGATAATCTGACTGACATAGTATCTATCTTTTGGCTATCCATATCAGAAGACCAAACTATGGCTACTGAAAAAATTCTATTTTATCTTGGAGAAAATAACTACATCAACTACGAATTTTGGTGGTACTCTCCCCCTTTCTTATATTCTTGGATTAGCAAGCTTCAGAAGGAAGCTATTGTTGAACCAACTTAGGTTTATGAGGATGTTGTTGATGAAACTCCTGTATCTTTTGCGACGCATTGGCGAGATTTTTAGGTGGCTCCTACGT